TTTAGTCCTGGTTTAGTCCTGGTTTAGTCCTGGTTTAGTCCTGGTTTAGTCCTGGTTTAGTCCTGTCCTGGTTTAGTCCTAGTTTTTGTTTAGTCCTGGTTTAGTCCTGGTTAGTCCTGGTTTAGTCCTGGTTTAGTCCTGGTTTAGTCCTGGTTAGTCCTGGTTAGTCCTGTCCTGGTTTAGTCCTGGTTTAGTCCTGGTTTCTGGTTTAGGTCCCTGGTTTAGTCCTGGTTTAGTCCTGGTTTAGTCCTGGTTTAGTCCTGGTTTAGTCCTGGTTTAGTCAGTCCTGGTTAGTCCTGGTTTAGTCCTGGTTTAGTAGTCCTGGTTTAGTCCTGGTTAGTCCTGGTTTTGGTTTAGTCCTGGTTTAGTCCTGGTTTGTCCTGGTTTAGTCCTGGTTTAGTCCTGGTTTAGTCCTGGTTTAGTCCTGGTTTAGTCCTGGTTTAGTCCTGGTTTAGTCCTGGTTTAGTCCTGGTTTAGTCCTGGTTTAGTCCTGGTTTAGTCCTGGTTTTAGAGTCCTGGTTTAGAGTCCTGGTTAGTCCTGGTTTAGACCTGGTTTAGTCCTGGTTTAGTCCTGGTTGTAGTCCTGGTTTAGTCCTGGTTTAGTCCTGGTTTAGTCCTGGTTTAGTTTTTAGTCCTGGTTTAGACCTGGTTTAGTCCTGGTTTAGTCCTGGTTTAGTCCTGGTTTAGTCCTGGTTTAGTCCTGGTTTAGTCCTGGTTTAGTCCTGGTTTAGTCCTGGTTTAGTCCTGGTTTAGTCCTGCTCTTACTCTGGGTGATGAGGAAGTAACAGACAGTGGAATAAAACTCTGAAAAAGACACAAATCAGGATAAATTACATCATTAATTAAACCAGATGCCCTCCCGTCCTCTTTATTATTCGTCTGTTTACATCTGCAAAGCTCCAAACGCTCTGCTCCACCTCGTGATGTCATCAAGTGGTAGGTTTTTTCACTTTTCCCTTTAGTCCAGTTGAGATCCTCCAGGACTGAAATGATCCAGATGATTCAGCTGAAGGTTTGTGGACGTTTAAAAACACAGTGGAGCACTTCCTGCATCACCACACGATGACATCACGAGGTGGAGCAGAGGGTTTTCAGTTTGAGAGAAGAACTTTGTGAGTTAAACATGTGAATAAAACAACACTCAGAAAATAGTGTGACACAATTTAAATAAAATAAAAAACACACGTCAGATGAAGCAGGACGTGGGTCTGAGGAGAAAATAAATGAACCTCGTGTTGGTTTTGAGAGAAGCACATTTCCTGTGTGACTTTTCACACTGACCTCATCACACGTCATACTTCACATTTCATACTTCACACTTCACACACAGCCTGACGCTGCTTCTGACTTTGGACGTGTTTATTTATAACAAAAGACAAAATAAAAAGACTCTGTGTGTAGCGACACCAACACTGAAGGAAGAGGGAACAATGAGTGCGTTTACATGCACATCAATAACCTGGTTATGATCGGGTTTTTTGAGTGTCCCAGTTTCTTGATGGTGCATTTAAACATAGTAACCTGGTTTCAGTGTCCTGGTTATTAGAAACTGTGTTACTGTAGCTGGTTTATTCTGATAGTAACTGTGATACTTGTGACATGTAAACGCAGTATCCTGTTACTGCAACATAAAGTTGAGTCACATGTGTCCAAAAGACACTTTCAGGTCTTTTCACCACAACAGTAGAGACATAAATAAAATGACCAACATAATAAATTGACAATAAATAATGACATAAATAAATGAACATAAATAAAGTGACCAACATAAATAAAGTGACCAACATAAATAAAGTGACCAACATAAATAAATTGACCAAACGAGTGAAATAACTGTAAAATAAAGAGCTGCACTAAACCTGCACATGTACAATCTGCACTCGTGTGACGCTGAAAAACTAAAACATGAACTATCTCCTGTACGACACACACACAGAACAGACTCACCATCATCAGCACCTCTTCTGTCACTAAAACAACTCACATAATCCACTGAGTCGAGTCTTTTAGTCCAAAAGAATCTGATCACATCAGCGACACAAGGAGCAGCTGATTTTATCACCACTAACAGTTTATGTTAATTAGCGACGCGGTTTTAAGTTTCGTTTCTGTAAAACGTAAACAAATGTGATCAGAGCTGAATGATCTGATCAAACCTGCTGATGTGTCTATAGTGTTTATGGTTTATATGTTGTAAAGTTGAGTTTATTTATTCTGCACAGTGGATTGTGGTTTGTATTTTTTCTGGTTTATTAAATTGATTTAAGTTAATTTTTGCGCTTGTGCATTTGTAAGATTATGTCAAGAAACCAGGACACTCCATTTGATCATGTCCACGTGGATATGAGTGTCCAGGTTTGTCAGTGCTCATGTAAACAAAGTAACACGAACACTGACAGAACCAGGACATGGAGAATAACCAGGACACTGATGCACATGTGACGCACTCAGTAACAGATGTTGAGGACAGTTACAAGTGTCTTTGTGTCCCACAAACACACGGCTCCTCGAACAGGCAACGAGGAAAGTGACTACGGCCAAAATATCTGCAAAGACTGAGACAAATCCTAAGAAACAGCTCAATGACAAGAACAAGGCCCAGGTAATAAACACCTGGGTCCTGACTAGGGATGGGCATGATTAATCGATTAATCGATAATTGATCATTAAGAATTTCATCTATTCCGTTGATTTTACTGGACAAACTGAATGTATGTTGTGTGTGTCGTGACCAAACAGGTGTGTACATGTGTCTCTGCATCAGAAGGAGCGAGACACAAACAGTGGGTCAGTCTGTAACGAACCGAAGCACAAATGTGGATTTAACCAGGATTTGTAGAAGAAATTCCACACTTTCCGTTGCGTTGGGACAAGTGTGAGTCCATGTGCACAGTGGATAAAGCAGCACATATGTTTCTGTGTCCAGTGGGAAAAAGTTTTTCCAGGTGAGAGTCGCTCAATGTGGATGACGAGGCCCCGCCCCCCTCCCCCCGTACGCTGTCCTGGTTTTGACAAACACAAATCTGGTCACACTGACCTGTATTCACCTGAGTCATGTCTTTTAATCCAACACAAGTTGAACCACATCAGCGACACAAGAGCTGGAGTTTTATCTTCACTTAGTTTATGTAAATTAGTGATGTGGTTTTAAGTTTTGTTTCTGTGAGATTTGAACAAAACTGAATTAAACACATTATAATGTCAAACAGCTGATGTGGATCTAGACCAGTGCTTCTCAAATAGTGGCGCGTGAGGTTCCGTCAAGGGGGGGGGGCGTGTTTGACCTCGGGGAACATGCTTTTTTATTTTTTTATTTAGATTTTTTTTTACTGTCCTAGAATAAAGTGCAATTGCACTTCCACTACATTAGGGGGCAGTGGCGCTCTCATTGGCAGAGTGTGCGCAGGGAGCATTCGCTCGGTGGTGTAGGAGTTTTGTTTGCACTGAGCATGCGCGCTTTGCACACAGCACAGAGTTTGAGTATGAAGTGTAGACACGAAGTGTAGCAGACCCTCAAGTGACACCATGAAAAAATATTTAACAGGGATGAGAAGACAGACGGAGAGAGACGGAGATAAAGAGACAAACGAAAATCTCCCGAAAGCTAAGACGAGGAAATATGACGAAGCGTATGTAGCGCTTGGCTTCACTGTGACTACGGTGGGAGACGAGGAAAGACCGGTGTGTTACTGTGTCTAAAAATGTTGGCAGCCGACAGCATGAAGCCCAA